CTATTGACAATACTTTGGAAATTTAAGTATAACAATCATAGGATTGGACTTTAACGAGTTTTAAATTTAAAACATTAAAATTTAAACAGATAGTAGTGCAACTCAAATATTTATAAATTTGAATTTTGACAAAACTCACCACATTGGAGTTATACAATATTTAAATGTAAAAAATTTGTAATTTTCATTTATACTTTTAGTTACATTAAATATAAATATTTTAAATTGCAATGATATTCATTACTAACAACTTGCTTTATAAGTAGTAAAAAAAAAATAAGTACTAATGATAAAAAACACACAATGCTTACTTTTGATTGCAAGTTATTTTTCTGTAATTAATAATTAATATTAGGGAGACAACATTATACTCTATCACATATTCATGCACAAAAATGCTGATACACAATCATACTGAAAAATTTCATATCATCTAGTTGTAGCTTATATTTATATATAATAATAATTGTAATTTCAACTTCCAAGCCTAATATAAATAAATAAATAAATAAATAAATGTTTTTTATGTATATTCAACCATTTTTTATTGTATTTCTTTAATGATTAAATTAACTCATTTCAGCTATATAACAAATAAAATATTTTATTACATTTTACTGTTGTCTGTTGCTTCACARATAATTATGTTTGACAAACATTTTTTTTCTACAGTAATTTAAGATGATTACATTTTACAAAAGCAGTAAAATTAAAAAGAAAGTTATTGATCATTGGCAAAGTCAGCAGGATTCTTTCTCAAACTTTTATGATGAGCATTGACAGCCCAATCGTAGACAATGTAACCAACGATCATTGGTGGAACAATGAATGGTATATTAGAGGCTGTCCTTTTAATGGAATTAGGAATTCCATGAGAAATGATTCCTTTGAATGCTTTTTGTTCAAATGGAGACAATTTGGTAGTAATAACTCCACGAATATCAGTTTTCAGTTGTCCAAAATCTCCACCCATGCTCTGTAATAAAGAAATAATAAGTTTAAATAAAAATTTAGGTAGTAAACAAAAAAATRTAAACTATTAGTGAAGTTAAAATAAAGAAGTACCCTAAGAAGAGTAAATTCGTATTCCATTATTTTAAGTACAAAATTTACTATACATGTAACAAGCAGCAATGACAATTTTATTACTGTTATATGAAGTAACTTGAACACTAAGTATAAATATAATTAGATACTAATTGTTAAACTATTTAGTCGAAAGTTACTGTATACTCATTACTGGACATTGAGACTAATAATACGATGATTAGACTCTGTAGACAGTTATGGAATTTAATAAAAAAAAAGAAACTTTTAAATATGCAAAACGAAAAAAGCATTCAACGACCGCAACCGTGATTGTCTAGGTCGTAGACAATACGGTGGACAGCGTAGGACACTTGATGAAGCTTAAAACAGTGCACCCTGTGCTAGTTTCTATGGAGCTTGGTATAAACATACTTATATAAACTACTTACGGTATTTTCTTGAGAATCGGGAACGTGTGAATTTGGAACGAGGACGAACAGGTACAGAGAGGAGAACGATTAAAATTACAATATTATAATTTATTAATTTACAATATCGGTACTCGTAAGTCAAGACGGCGGTGAACAGTAGCTAATGGCTATCAAATTGATATCGTGAAAAAGTCGAGCCCCGGATCAGCTGTTTACGAAAACAGTGCCCGTACGACGGGCCGTGCGGACGTGTCCCGGGTCACGGCTGCACTGTCGACAGTGGTTTTATCACGACACTGACGACGGCGACCACAGTGGACAACAGTTGTTACTACTCGCAGAGGCAGCTGACCAGACTATCACGCATTCACGCGCACGCCAGCGGATTGCGGTAGCGATATTAATGCGCGGGTGGGTAGAGGGACCGACTACGCGTCTCGCACAGGCGGCGGGAAGACGCAGTTCGTAATTCTGGTTCGGTTGGGCCTCACGTCCCGCGGTCGTTATGGCTGCTAATGCGGCGTATTTGGTTGTCCGCGCTCGCATAATTTTCGGACTCGCACACCATCGCCGGGATGTCACCACTGGCGGGATTACGAGAATTTGCCGGACGTTTGACGTAAGTGCAATGTAATTTAGTTTGGTGGGGGGAGGAGGGAAAGGAAGTAAAAATGTATTTTGAAAATAATTCTCGCGACTTGTACGTATATAAAAGGCAGCCTCTCTACAGTAGGTTGTAGGTTCCTGCCTATTTAATAAAATGGTATAATTTAATTTCGACTGCGCAGCATATTCGGAGAAATATTAACAGTCGGACTCTCATCAGCTGTCTGTAGTACACCGTGCACAGCTGTTGAACGCGTATTTCCGATCTTATTTACGAATTAAACGGAATTAACGATCACTGWATACGATTTATGAAGTTATACTCATAGCTCTACTTTGGCATTTTGGGGCCTGAGGCTAATTTTTTGGTTAGGGGCCCCTCAACATTAATTGTGGTTAGTTTTTTTGCTTGGTATGTCGTTTTTTATTTTAAATTTATTTTTGAAGATTATAAATAAATTATATCATTAGTCTATAAGTAATTTTTTTAAATCAGTTGTTATAATTAAAACGTATATTAGTGTGTTAGTATGTTACAGTAATGTATGGAGGCCTCTAATTATCTCATGGGCCTAGCCCGGCTAGCCCCTAGCCCCTCCCCCCCCATAAGTAGGGTTCTGCTTATCAGATGTATACAATATATTGTCCGCGGTTGTGTTAGGCCTCCTAATTCATGAGTAAATCCAATTAAAGTTTGAGAGGGATACACAGTAAACCTGGGATTGCTCTATATTTTACTGGAATTTTGCCTGTTGATACGTCGTATACATGTGTGGTGTTTACGATGTTTCAAGTACTCGTATTTCCTCATGTATTTTTACACACTATATTTTATTATAATATAACAGTGGTGTGCTCAGCTTTTTTGAAAGGGAAGAATAAAAGTTTTTGACTATTCTYAGACTGTGTTTTATACACATTAGTTATTGTTTTATCATATATTTTGTATATATAGTAATCCAAGGGAGATATGACACCTTCGTCCACCCCCCTCGTGAGCACTCCACTGATACCTAATATATATTATTCAAAATTATTTTTTCATAGTGATAATTAATTAAAAAATAGTTTTGTACCTCTTACGAAATATTAATCATAACAAAAATTAAAATTGGATTTACTTTATTTTTAGTTAAAACTATAACTGTTTTATTTAATTAGTTATTATTATAGGTCATTATTTACGATAATATTATTTGAGATGTAATTATTTCTTTATAAATGTTACACTTACAATAAATTAATACTTTGGTTTTGCTACGCTTTACAAACGCGTATAGGTAGCCAGTTAGGATATAATATAATACCTATGACAAAAGTCCCAGCTTACTTATCTATTCCAGAGCCGCCCTTGACACGATATAAGAGGGATATAAGTCTTAGTCACTTGTGACTTGATCACTTATATTTAGGTACCTACCTAAATCTATGGACTTAGATTTTATCAAACGGGTTAGAACATAATATTATATACCTATCAGTATTATTAATGCCCATATACTTATCGTCTAGATTAAAAATAAACAATTTGYTATCCATACCCCGCTCACCCACGAGTCACGAGACATTATTGCGCTGCGATGCATATTTAAAGTCTGGGGCCACTAGGGAAACCGTTGTTAAAAGACGTTGTCGAGAAGTTTAGTTCCAAATTCCAACCAACTTGGGCATAGCGTATTTACAAAATTACACATTATAGTTGTGTTGTAATTCCTCTACATATTACAATACGTCAATACTACATGGGTAAATAATAATATTATATATCATAATGTTATACTCATTGGTACAACTAGAATCCAAATCGTAGAGGTTCTTAAATTGTATTGCAGTAGAACACAGAACCGTGTTCACTCCTATCATCTCCCGACTTTCTCCACTGCATTCATATTAAAATGTCTGTTAAAATTTAAATATTATATAAATAAAAATATTCCCACTATTTTGGGTTTTTTAATTTTTTTTTTTTAAGACCTATGGCTCGGATTTACGCGATGCTTTCTAAGCTACAAATATGTTTCAAGTACTCGGTATTATAATCACAGAATTTTTTTGGAGAATTTTTGAATTTTTCGCAGATTTTATACTTTTTAGGGTATTTTTTGACGTTTTTAATACATTATTGGCCTACTTCTCGTATTATGACTGAAAAAATTGACTTCGTTGAAATATACCTAAGTACTACATAGTAGTATTATAGCACTACATAATATAAATTATTCTCATTTTTAACTATTTTTAATTTATCAAGTTAATTGGCCAATACATTAAAAAAATTCTCATTATACAGCAGTGTAATGAAAACATAATTTCATTTTTTATTAATCTTTTAATAATAATTAATTTTTTGAGGGTATTTAAATCCAAGCCCTAATCATAATCAATACCTAAACATAATACATATACTTTGAAGTGTTGTGATTAATGCTGTAATATAGGACACTTATATATTGATAGCCGATTCGTACGTACCGGCATGCTGCACTTGTTAACTGCTGCAAGTGTTTTTTAGGATATACAGCTAGTTTGCTAGTTGAGCACCTATAAGAGAGAAAAGATGGGTGATTTTTTTTTAGTGGTGGTGTTCAGATTGATAATGTTTTGTCAATATTGGCGTTTCCAAGAAGTTATAATAATAACGATATCAGGCCATATTTATGCAAACCATCTATAGTTTTAAGTGTTCGGCTTAATCAACTAATTCAAATATATAGGTACATAATGGAGATATTGAAGTGAAAATCCTATCAATCATAAATCGATTTGGTACATGAGAAAAACAAATATTATTACTAATAAACAAGTATATTTTTATTCAATTATGATGTAAATGAATTATTCAATTTCACTACTCACGCCTACCACCTACGTTATGCAAAGATTATTTTTATTTTTATTATTTTTTTAAAATCGTTTTTGTAAAAAAAATATCGTGTATACATTCCGAKATACATTCTTATTTTTAAAATAATTGTAGATAGGTACTTATACAAGGTTAATCACCAGGCGCCCTTTTCCTCTTTTATAATCAAAATTTTTCTAATATATATTGAAGTGATTATTATTTATATGAACGCCGGATCCCTCGAAAGCCCAGGCCCCAGTATCATGAGTTCTTCTGACCCTCCTTGTGTGGGCTTTGCTGTTGTATGCTATTATTTAATTACTATAAACATTTGATTAAACATAATAATAACAACAAATTACTAAGTAGATAATAGTTTTGATTATTGTATGTACAAATGTTAAATATTCTTCCGATTTTGACGTGTGTTTAAGACGTTTAAGTGGTATYATGGATAGCTTAGGTTCACAGCTGGACTGCTGAGTTAGTCCTATTCAGAGACGTGCTCAAACAAAGATTTTTATATTTTTGACGGATATTTTCGTTTATAAAAGGTTCTGTAAAAGGTTGCCATTATAGTTACTCGGGCAGATGAGGTAACCGTCAAATCAAGCATAAAATTCCGCATAAAATCGTCACGTTTATGGTTTTGAATAAAGAAATTAGATCTAAAACAAATATGAGAGTTAAATGTGGCTTCTATACTTAAAATCTACTTTGTGTTTAGGGATATCAATAAAGTTTTAAGTGTAATTTGAATCCCGTTTGATTTATACAAAATGTTATACAAGCGAATTGTCCATCTTGCTCGAATTAGTTCACAAAGCGATTTAACCTCAGATTTAATCGACTCAAATTAGCCTATAATCGAGGTCCACTAAAACTAAGATTTCATTTTTTCACGGGCAAAGACGGGTTATACTAAAATTAGATGTTGGTTCATCCGAAGTTAATAGCCTCAAAAGACGACTGTTTRCAATAAATATTATATCAATATATCACTTGAAACTTGGAAGGCRTTTATAGCTTAACATTTTTTCAACTCTTATAAAGAGTTGAAACGTAGCTCACGCATAATTTTTTTCCTGATTACAAAAAATGATTTTTTTTTTTAAATTTAAATACAGCTGATTACATATTATTCGATATTATATAACTGTTATAATTATTAGAAGAAATACAAACCTTTGATTCGGACAACTTTAGGTGAGACAGCTAGTTAATATATAATATAAATTATGGATATTAGTATAATTATATATAATAAATTTGTATATTTTAAGATAATAATAATAAAAAAAAAATAATAATAATACTCAGAATCATATTTTTTTCTCGGTGTGGGTAACTTTGAACTATATAAGGTTATTATTCAAAATTTTGTTTTATAAATATATTTTATATTATTTTATTTTTAACAAGATTTTGCTCAATCTATCGCATTTGTATACACCATTTACAAATTGTATACAATATCATAATAAGTACCAGCTATATGGTAATGCATAAAATATATTTGAAAAGTCGATAGTCGTTCATGCCTTCATGGTATCATTYTTTTCGTTAACTGTAATAACTGAGAAGGCGTAAGCAGTGTTGGAGACTTGAATGGATGAGTAGATAGAAAACCGTTTGAAATATTCTTATAAGAGTAGTAAATAGAAAAAAAAATTATTTAGCTTTATATATAGTAGGTTAAATAAAATAAAACAATCTGTATTTACCTAGTGTATTTATTATTTTAAAAAATGTATGTAAGTGTTAATTTTATAAATGTAATATGTATAAATAAAATGTATAATTATTTTGAGACAATTCAAGTAATATGCAAAACAAGAATATATTACATTAAAAAATAAATATATTTAAATAAAAAGTGGAATTAATTAATCAGAATTATTAACCTTAGGATGTTAACTAAATATATTGATAGAATATAATTTAGTAAAAATGTATTGATTCAATGATGTATTTAAAAAAAATTGCAAGTATAAAGTCATAAAAAATGCATTGCCACATTGGTGTCAAGATCCTAATATTTAATTTATGTTGGTATTTTGTTTTATTTGTGACCGTTCTATACGATAGACCAAAAAATGCATGCACTGTATTGTTGTTGTTTCATAAATAATACTGTTTGATTTTGCACTTACCCACATTTCCTTTAG